GCTGAAAAAATGAAAAAAATAAAATAAAAAATTTATCTGAGCTTTAATAAATCTCCGTTTGTATGAAGGATTAAAAATTAATATGCTCCGTCTTCATATTGTGAAGAATAAATGAAATTCTTAAAAATATCCATAATAGCATCAGTTTGAAAAAAAAAAAAGAACTCTGTTGATTTACTGAATATATTTATAGTTTTTAGATCTTCAAACATTTATTTTATTCGAAATGGATGATTTTTTGTTTGCCATATTATATTCTGTAAATTTATGTTATGTTTATAACTAATTATTTATAATTTTTAGAAAATGTTTGAAAAGTTTAGAATTTTGCTGTAAACTTAGAAGATTTAGAATTAAACGAATTTATTTATTTAGAAGATTTTAAATTTTATTTAGAATTTCACTGTAAATTTAGAAGATTTAGAATTAAACGAATTTATTTGTTTAAAAGATTTTAAATTTTATTAAGAACTTTATTTATTTAGAAGATTTAGAATTTATACTGTAATCGTTTGCATATGTCTGTCTCTCATATAATGACAGAACCGTTTGTGCTACCGTCTTGAAATTTGAACAAGTGGTGGTGAAAGGAGCAATTTTTGTCCACGATTTTAAAAATCCTTCAAAACTTTTTATTAGATAGTTCAGTAAAGACTTTTAAAAAATAGAATTTCTAATTGGTATGGAACTAGCGCCTTTAATATAAATTAAACTGCGGACGATTTTGTTTTTTTAAAAATTGTTTTGAGGATACAACAGTAGTACTTGCTTATAGCTGTTATTAGTAAAAATAAGGTTTTACACACGTTATTAAATATTTTATAATTTTTTTTATTCGTTTTGTCTGATATACCTATTGATCAATAAGAACTTGGTTAGTTTATGTGAACTTCGTCATCAAATTAGTATTTCTTAAGTAATCCGTAACCACGTGTCTATTTTTCTGTAATTACAGTCCCTGGACAAATTATTAGACGCACTATTGTTTTACAGAATTATTGTTTTTGCGCTGCTGAAACTGATTTACACTTGCTTATATTCATTTATCAATTGGTTAGCATTGTAACTCAATACGTTAAAAATAAATACAAATAGGATGTATATTAAAAATCTCTTGAATAATAACCCATTACATGTATGTATAAATATAAAAGTATTGCCTATAAACTCGTTTCAAAACATGTCATTATTAAAAAACTATAGTGCGTCTAATAATTGGGTCTAATTATTATAATACACTAGTATAATACCTCATGTAATAAATATTCTATATTTATATAATATATCGTCTAATTCATCAAATCGTCAAATTTATATTATATATCGTCTCATTTAATCAATTGATACACAGACGTAAGCAAGTACAAAGGTTTTGTAGATGTAAAAAAGACGTAAACAAAACCGGTTTCAGTCGCGTAAAAACAATGAAGCTGTATAGTATCATCTTATAATTAAAATTTTACTTCAGAATCTTATTGTGCTTCTAATAATTTGGCAAGAGACTTTATGCTTTTAAAACGTGTTTCTATAAAACTAAATCATTAAAAAATCGCCGGTAATTGAAATAGAAAAAGAAAAGAAGTTATGTACTGAAAAGCAAAGTTAATGGAGATGGTACTAATTCATTTAGGAGAAACGTAAAAAAAAATTGGTTCATAAAAATACCGCTGATGTTATGCTTAGTAGTAAGTACTAAATGAATTAAAAGCTAAGCTAAGAGCTGAAATTACTAAGATAAGTAATAGTTAAATGGTAGTAGTTCGTTTCGAAGAAATTTAAATCGCCAAATGTGGTGTATTGACGCCTAAATTTGGTAATTCTAGAATTATAGTTATTAGTTCAATTTTAATAGGTAGAAAATACACTAATATAGGTTATAACTTATTACATTTGGTATCTTTTAAAACTGCTTGAATACTGTGTAGTTTTATAATACACTGGTGTAAGAAGTTAAAAAAATTTGCAGACTTTGTCGATTATCTCTAGAACTACTGGACACTCGTTGGAACCGGAAGGTATGAAATAGCGGGTGCAGATTAAACCAAAAATTGGGTTAATTGGGGGTAGGGTCCCCTCTTACAGATATACAGGCCTTGCAGCGTGATTACATACTTGAAATAAGGCAGTTTATCATTTCCTGTGGCAATTGGCCTGAATGTCCTACCGCAATTTCATACCTTCCGACTCCAAAGAGTGTTACGCACGATCATGCTCGTGTATCACAATTGTTGAATGATTATTTGTTTGGTATTGTATCAATGTATGCACAGATTAAATTTCATTAAAATTGGTTTAGTAGTTCTAGAGATAATTGACCCAGTCGGCAAATTAACTTAATTTCTTACACCAGTGAAGTTGAGAATGTTATGATTATAATATATTTTATAATAGTTGATAATAGTTATAATAATGCGTTGACCTTAAACCACAGCATCGTACCAAATATTAGCTATTAATCTTTAATTTGATGAAATGAACTACTAAAATTGTGTTTTGTTTAACATAATAGCGTAAAGCCACAAGGAATGCAAACAAATAAAAATAAATAAATAAATAAAATTATTTAAACTTTATTAATTATGTTGGTATGACTTTCAGTCTTGTGCGTGATTTAAGTGCTATTTTGTGCTAATTTATTTATTTATTCTCCCCGCACGAAGAGCTGGAATCCCGCTAGTGTAATATAAAATAAAACCTTTACCTTGGTTTTAGGCATTCAAAATGTATTAACTTAATATTTTTATGTTTGAAAAAGATTTTTGAATATAAAGTAGTTCTTATTAAGGCGAACGTTTGTGGTATTTGAAGCGTTTATGGAAAATTGTTCCATTTAAGGTGGTGCTTTTTTCCTGTTTAGAAGGTGAGTCTGGAGATTGCCATAATTGGCACATAATTGTTAATGCCATAGTTAGTGCCATAATGAGTCAATAATGTGCACTAACATGCCATAGTTAGTGCATATTATTGCTTCTTGTAAATTTTACTGAGTAGACTATTAAAGAAAAAGAAAAATTTATTTTTTCAATAAATCAATTCTGTTATGAAAAACAAACATAGACTTATTGGCAGGACTTATTATTATAATAGACTTGTGTGGCTATTATTAATATCCGATGACTTTTCTTATAACAACACCTGATTAGGGAAAGGAGAGCATCAGTGTAGAGAATATCGTGCATTGGCACTTAACCTTGTAAAAAAGAGTAATGGAGAAATAACGGGGCAGTGTTTTACCTGTTTTATTTAGCATATTTACTATAGTATAGTCTTTAAATTTCATATTGTTAATCATGACATTGTTTTTCGGTAATTGTGTTAAATTATGGACATTAGCAGAGATGATTGTGCTCCGGAAACCGGTTTCCGGAAATCCAAGGTCCAGAAGTTTCAAGATATCATCGATCACATATATAAATAAAAATTCTTGTATATTTTATTTAAAAATATTAGAACTAGAATTTATAATTTGCATCTCTTTCATTTGTAAATATTTTTTCTGATAGAATAATAAATGTAATTAGAGAAAAAAGTAAACTTTTACCTAATTAGTCATTTAAATTATGCAGCATATAATTTATTTAGAATTTTATGTTACCAAAATATCAATGATTTAAATTTATAACGACATTAACTTTTTGAAATGCGTCATTAATAATTTTACTCAAGAAATTTTCAGGATTTTTGAGTTGGGCTCACAATCAACCCTGCATTAGTTATATTGACCTGTAAAGCCTTCAAAAACAAAAACAGTCTTAAATAATTAAAAATAAATAAATAAGAAAGATATATTTTGAAATTGATTCTGAAACTAAACCAGTTTGTATCGCCGAATATGAAACCACCACCTCAAATACAAATAGTAAGCCGCCCCTCTCTCACCTCAACTGGTACCACCTGAACCGGAACAACCGGTTGTAACTGAGCCCTTTGAACCATGATGACTTAGAACATGAAAATCTACCAAATAGATCAAAAGCTATTCAGAGAGTTTCTTTCTTTAACGTTTTATAACTAATAGTATGTTTGACATTGTCCATGATATAATTTGTAATGCATTTGTATATAAGTTCAACTCTAGTTTTATAATGGCCTTTTTTGTAAATATTGCAGAACTTATAGAATTCCTAACATTTTAGAATATACTCCACACATCTATCTCTATGCATCTACTCCATACATCCTATACATTTTAGAATTTATAATATATTCTTCTTATTCCCACAGAGATATATGGTTATAATGTTTTTTTTGTGTCATTACGAAACTTACAGCATGCCTCATATATTTCAATTTCATGATTCTTTATGAACTCTAGCATTTACATTACATCTTTTCAAATTTACCTAAATTTACTTAGTTGCTTCCCCATTGTGCAAGTTACATTTACTAAAAACCATTCTATTCGATATAATAAATTGGAACTAAAGTAACGTAAATCTTTCACAAATAATCAAAATATTTTCTTCCGCAATTTATCTTAAAATCAAAATGAACGTACGAGACCAAATCTCAAAAACTTTAACCCACGAGGCTAACGGGGCAACAAAAAGGCTGCAATTATGTTTCCATGGTGAAAATACTGAAACATCAGTTTAAGAAACGATAGAAGTTCAAAAAAAAAACATATTTTTAAAGAAATAATAGCAAAAAAATATCTATAGCTCAGATTCAATTTTAAAAGATGGTTGTATGAATTACTTATGAAAACAATAAATGAAATACGGTTCCGATTCTCGCAGTAGAATTGAAAAAGCATCAAAAGCTCGCAGAAGAGCGATCTTTTTTTCCACATCAATTGATTCTTTGTAGGAAAGAGTTTAAAGATAAGTGTAATTTTATTAAACGTATATATAAATAATAATTGGATCAAAATATGTGCTGTACTGTTATCGAGCTTTTTTCCGCTGAAATGAGTTTGAAGTTTTGATTCTAAAAAACAACAATGAGTGCCCATAATTGTTGAATTGAATTTAAAAATGGAATTTTTTTTCTTCTTTCAGATCTTCCTTACAAAAGAAGACCAAACATTCAAGAGAGTAAGTAGATTCAAATTTCATTTCTTATTTTATTCTGAAGGAATAAAAATATCTGTATTTGAAATGAAAACAAACATTTATGATAAAAAATGTACGCTGAAAGTTGGTATGTTTGATGCATTTTACCAACACTCGGTTGCAAGTCGATAACCAGACTCCGTTTGCCTGACAGATATTTTTGCAAAACATCTTTTCTCGACATATATGTTTGTCCGGTTACTCATTTGCCCGACAAGTACGTTTGCTAGGCATCTTCTCTTACCAACAGTTAGGTTGCCAGATAGCTTATTTTTTCCTGCCAAGTAGGTTTTCTAAACAGGTTCGCTTGCCCGACAACTCATCTGTTCGATAGTGCATTCTCCCGACCAAAAAAACGAAAACTCTTACTGACTAATATATATAATTAATCGGATTAATAATTAATTTTTGAAAAGTACTAATTAACCAGTCTATATACGCTCTTTAGTACTCTACTACAGCCACATTGCCACTGTAACAACTAATACATATAGTATGGTTTTTATTAACGCCTATTAAAAGTTAAGCATGAACCGTTACGTATGAAAAAAAACTGAACAGTTCATTTTAATATTGAAATTTAATTAGAGGTTATCCAAAATTTGTTGGCAATGGTTACTGATGTGCTAAGATAAAAATATAAATAATTTATCCATTATTTCATTGTAATGTTATTGCAAAACAGATAATCCACTGTAATCAAAAAGCGAAAAGGCAATGAAAATGTTTAAAATAACTAAGAAAAATAATTTAACGGAAAAACTGAATAAAAAAGGGAGAGAAAAAATGAATTGTCGGGTGAATGTACATGTGGTGAAGATAAATTGCCACGCAAATCTACATGTAGGCAAAATGAGTTGTCCGGCAAATGAGCTGTTGGGGAAAACGGTGTCCGGCATTTGAATTGTATAAAAACCGAGCAGGGGAAATGACCTGATCCGGTTGAGTTTTCTAAAATTTACACTAAATATAGTAAAATTTCTCGATAACGAAATTGATTCATTCATTTGAAAGATTCTCTGTAGAGAATATTGCGTTCGACAGAGGATTTTAGTAAAAAATATTAAAAAAATATTTGTCGCTATTAAAAAAATATTACGAAATGTTTAGTTCGTTTGATGAGTCCAAAAGTATATAATTACATAATAATGTTATGCATATTTGAAATAAAAATACGAAATTTTTCACATAGAATATTTTTGAAAAGAACTTTTTTTTCACGTAGAATTTGTTTCACATACATTTTTTAAATAGAATTTTTTGAGAAGTGGTTCCAGAAACAGACACGTGTGAGAGCGAATCAGTTTAGAATACTTAACATAGAATTCTTTTCACGCAGAATTCTTCATATAGAATTATTTTTACTTAGAACTCTTTTCACGCTGAATTCTCCACATAGAAGTCTTTTTACATAGAATTCTTCTAAAAGAATTCTTTTTACCTAGAATTCTTCATATACGATTTTTTCCCACACAGAATTATCTTGCTATGCATTATTTCTGGAAATGATAATTCGAGTAGTTTCAAGAACAGGCGGAATTCTTTCATCATAGGTTTATTTATTTTTTATGCTAAGTGTTATCCCTGGAACAAATTGTTTGAGTTATCATTTTGAAAAAAAAAATTAAGGTTCTTAAGTTTCTAATAAGTAAAGCGAATAATTATTTTTGAACTGTAACAAATCGTTAATGAGAAAATTATGACTTTAAATATTAAAACTTTATTAATTGCAGGAGAAAACAGAGAGGTGTTAAATCTATATAGCATACAATTAGGATGTTCCTTGAGTAATTTTATTTTAAAAAAAAAGCATTTAATTTCTATTAGTATCAAAAAATAGTCACTTAACCCGTAACCTTTGTTTACAATTCAAATGCAACGAATCAAATGCTTTTTTTTTCGTAACGAAACTCAAAATTTCGTTTTTTGAAAATCACCGAGAGTGCATGTGTAGTATAAATCCCTATTCTGTGAAATTAAATTCCTTATTTTTACTTTTACCTGTGCGTAAAAGTTGAACCTTGTTTCTCCAGACTGAGTAATTCTCTTAAGAATACCAATTTCTCTTCGTTACTAAGTTTAGCCTACTATCATATTTTTCCATTAAAGCGGTACATTCTATTTTCTTAAAGCGCATTAGGCAAACAATTACAAGAAGTTTTCACTCTTCCTAATTTGAAATTGTTTCCCCAAGAACTCTAAAAGCGGATGGATTTCACTCTTATTTCAATGCATAATGTAGATTTACAACTGCTTCAAGCACCATTTTCTCCATCTCGCGAACAAGAGGAGCTTCATTGTCAGCCACTTAGACTGTTAACCCTGTTTAAATTTTTAAACACAATGTAGTTTCCGATCGAATAATAAGTTTCTGTAAAATATCTTAGATTATTGAAGTATTTAATTGGAATTATGCACTCATTTTAATATTTGGAGATCTTAAACAATGAGTAGTTTTATTTCACATTTATAAGTTAGACAGATATTAAAGGTTAGAAATAAGAATCAGATATTTCTGTGAATGTTTGATTTGTGTAATTTACGGAATGTAAGCAATGTACAGATTTCTGTCAAATTCATAGAGCTTACACAAAAAAGGTGCATATTTGTATCGTTGGGTTTTTCCCTTTCTGATTCGGGTTCAGACCTTCAAGCAAGAGTAATCATCCCTGTGACAAGAATAATCATCTAAGAAATACGATTTTTTTAAAATATAAATAGAAATAAGCAATATTCAAAAAAGAATTTCTAAAGTCAATTCCTACTTAAGTCAACGAAGAAAATTCTTATTTTAGTTACTTTTTATTAAATAATTAAAATTTTTTCTCCCACATAAAACTAAAATTAATTAATTAAATCTAATTAATGAATTTNAATGGCTTTTTCTTAAATTTAAATTCAATATAATAATGTGAACATGTAATATATCATTTTATGTAGTAATTTTTTCCTTCAATCTTATTCCTCAAACAAGTTATAAAAAGTCTCCTAATTTATGGTCTGAAAAAAAATCTATTTTAAATGCATTGTTTTTCTGATATGCATTCCAAAAAATATCCCACAAAAATTACTATAAAACGCATTTGTAATTTAAACTGATTAATGAGATTTTTGTTTACAAATTATTAATTAAACGGTAAATAATTTTAAACGAAATATCGACATAAGACATTACCTAATTGCATCTTAGACCTTTAAGCAAGAATAATCATCTGAGAAATACGATCTTTTTAAATATAAATAGAAGCAAGTAATATTAAAAAAAGAATTTCTAAAGTCAATTCCTACTTAAGTCAACAAGGAAAATTTTTATTTTAGTAACTTTTTATTAAATAATTGGAATTGTTTTCTTCCACATCAAAATAAAATTAATTAACTAAATTTAATTAATGAATTTTGAAAAAACTGTATTAACATCAATTGTCATCCACTAAAAGTTTAAAAATATGTATTTGAACATGAATGGCTGAATAAAATGTATTTTATTAAAGATTGGAAATCTGAACAAGATATATAAATATATGTAGGGAGAGTGTGAAGTAATAGTAGCAATTGAAAAAAAAAAGCCACGTTGCATTAAACAACTATAAAAGTATAAATTTGGTGACCTGGGAACAATACAAAATAATTAAATATTTAAATGTGCGCGATAAACTATTTTTTTGTTCAAATAGAGCTATAATTTAGAAATTATCTCTGATATTATTTTTTAAACACATGAAAAAATGAATCGCTAATAGTAAAATTTAAAACGATGACAAACGCTTAACCATTTCGTTTAACCATAAAAATTCCATTTCGTTTTTCGCTCATCCCTATTTAATGAATGAATAAATATTTGGAAAAAAAATTGTATTAACATCAAGTGTCATCCACTACAAGTTTAAAAAAATGTATTTGTACTTGAGTGGATGAAAGAAAAGTATTTTATGAAGGATTGAAAATTTGAACAAGATGTAGGGAGAGTGTGAAATAATAGTAGGAATTGAAAAATGTACTTTTTTTTCTTAAAACACATTAGACAAATAATTAAAGCAAGCTTTTCCGCCTTGAAGATGTAAGTTTTTGTAAATTAGACAGTTTTTTAAAGTTATTCATTTGTATTGAATGTTTGTTTTGTGTTGTTTGATGTGTACTTCATTGACGTCGCACTAGTGTTGCACTATGGGCTATTAACGACGGTCTGGGAAACGTGTTGTTTGAGTCTTCCTACATTAAACAAATTTCTTTCAAAATTTGGATATTATTTTATGATTTTGTGACCGTCGCTGAACAGTCGACCCAATTTTATGGATTTACGACAACTATTGTTCAACTCCGTAGCCTTGTAATTTTAAACTCAATCCAGAAGACAAGTAAACTTCTGGTTCGAAACAGAAACTCTAAGTTAGAAGAAAAACTTCGCACAAAATAGTAAAATAGTAATAGTACAAAATAGTAATCTAAAAGAAATTTCTTCTTATCTAGTCACTATTAAATAATATTATTTATGCCGCAACTAATTTTCTATTTCGTGGCGTAAGTTATTTTTTGGAGCAATTTTTTCAATGGTTTTTTTTTAGGATAAGGAAATTTTAACTAAACTTAATTTCATATTTCTTAGGGGTGGACCAGAAAATATCTTTGTACAATATATATCATAAATTACTAAAGTATATTAGTAAGATATATCAAATTTTCATACTTGAGATAGAGGCATTTTAAATTAAGAGTTTCTAGTTCTTCCATTTCCATAGGTAACAACTGTAGAGAGGACGGCATTTGATTGATCTCTTATTTCCCGGCCGATTTTTTGCGATTCTGGAAAATTTCAGCACTATAAGTAATTTACAACCGTTAACAGGGAAGAATGAAACCAAATCCCCAACTCAAAATTTTTGAAGGCTTTTCATTGATAAACTAGCATAATCTTGATGGTAATAATCATCACCCCAATGTAGGAATTCGGACTGATTTATGATGGTTCAACATAAGAATAGCAA